GAAGGAAGGAAGGAAGCAAGGAAGAAAGGAAATTGGACAACCCCGTCGCCTGTGGCGTGGGATCCACACAGTGGATTGGTCCCCCATCCGGCTCCATCGTAGCGCTGCCCTTCGATTGGCTTGTTTTCATTTTGAAGACCTGAGATTGAACGTGGATTCTGATCGTCCACCAAACACTGCAGCGAGGGGGCTCTGCCGAAAAAGACCCCTCCCCTCCCTGCTCCACCCCAACCCCGCATAGGCACCAGAGCCGAGACCGTACCGTTCCGAGCCCCAGGCTGCCTGGGCGCCTGGGGTCCTCTGCTCCTTCGGGGGCTGGGTTCGAGTTTGTACGGGAACGGATCGAGCCCCGTGGCGGTCCATTCTGGCTTTTTCGCTTGCCTTCTGGTTTTTCTGTTTTGATTTCCGTTTTCCCCCCACGTGGCCAGTTCAACAACTGCTCGAGCTGGTATACGGGGTGGGGAAGGAGGTGGAACTGACCCCAAGGGGGCTGTCTGAGAGGGGCGTCTGGGAGGCCCCCACACCCATGCTCACCCCCCGGGTCTCAAGGATTGTGGCCAGGAGCTGCTGCTGCTGTTGGCGCAAGGTGTCCGTGATCAGCAGAGGCAAAGAGCTGAAATTGGTCGCCAACTGTTCCAGCTTGGACTCCAACCCGCCGAGCTGCTTCTCCAGGTCTTCGCTGCGGTCATTCAGCTCCGTGATGAGGTCGTACATGACGTTCTGCATCTGCCAAACGAAGCGTGGGGACTGAGATCATTTCTTTCCGCGACAGCCCCACCCCACCCCACCCCACCATTCCCTGCCTAGCCCAAAGATCCCCAGGGGGTTTCCCAGCCCCCAACTGCAGATGAGCAAACTGCCGAGTGAAAGAGGGGGAAAAAAAACCCTGTACAGGCAATCCTCATTTAGCGAGTGCCTTGGACAGCGGCCGTTCGCAGTTACGACGGCGATGGAAAGGTCACTTTGCAACCAATCCTCGCATTTATGACCTTCGCAGGTCTGTCAAGCAAAGGAAAGCTGAAGGAAGATCATCAGCCGTCGCGGTTTCACTTAGCGACCGCTCTGCTTAATGGCCGAGTTGCCGCTCCCCATTGTGCTCGCTAAACGAGAACAACCTGCATGTTAAACCATTAAAACAGCAATGACCATAAGCAGGAAGGAAGAGGCCCAGATTTTCACAAGGGAGAAGGCAAAACTAGGGTTAAGTGCTGGATGCTGGAAGAAAAATCAGTTTTCCCTATCATGAGGCATCGGGAGCGATTCTCCCCGATGATTTAATCTTTGCCCTAGTGCAGCGTTTCTCAACCTTGGCAACTGTAAGACATGTGGACTTCAACTCCCAGAATTCCCCCTTAACTAGCTAACCATCTTTCCTTCCCTCCCACAGGTATTTTAGCTATTTCTTTAAAGCAACATCTGGTCTGAGAAAAACAGGTTATTCTTCATTTGAAAGCAAAGGTTCTAGATCTCAGAAGCGCTCCCAAGAATCTGCTTGGAAACTGCCAGCAAGATCCAATGAAACCTTTCCAGGGAGCAAATATAAAAGCTTTTAAAAAATTACTCAGCTAATTGATATATAGGTCACAGCAGTCCAGCTTTCTTGCCAAAGAAATGCATTATCCCGAAGCATTAAAATATTTGGAAAGGTGCCTTTGTTTCTCAACGTAGGCAAGGCGAAAAAGAACATTAGCAAATGGCTGCACTTTTCTTTGCAGTCTTAAGGTCTAGAAACTTGACTTCTAATAAAATTACATCTTCCGCAGTGGCTGTTTGGGATCTGCCCTAATGACCGAGTCACAGTGAGAGAACAAAAAAGGGATGCAGTTGACCTGATTGCTTAAAAAGGGAATGCAGTTGACCTGAATCCTTAAAACATGAGGACCAGGAACTTGTTGCAACTGTTGGTGGGGTTGATTTTACTTTGCACAAATTTCTCTCTCTCTCTCTCTCTTTTAAAGAAAGGGACATTCCAACAGGTGAACCTGTTGTTTTAGGGGAACGAAGCAAAGAGAAGCAAAGGTCTTTTTTGGTGATATTTTTGAGCTGATTTCCCAGGACACCCCCAGCCTGTGATTGCATTCCTGCCTCCTTGTCCCAAACCCTCTGAATGCTGCAAAGCAGCAAACGAAAACCAGCGACGGGATGAGAAAGACAGGTGGATATTTTAGAAGGAAAGGGGAGGAATCACAATAATAATACCAACCATGAGAAGAAGGAAGGAAGGAAGGAAGGAAGGAAGGAAGGAAGGAAGGAAGGAAGGAAGG